TGCGGTCGGACCGTCGGGTTTGGATCTATGAGTTCTGGGTCGGTACCCGTGGATTTTGGACCATAAGCTGCGCCTCTGGTTCCGTTTTTTGTCGTGGAGGAGTTGGACCCGTTCCTCTCATGGAAACTCAGATCTGCAGGATTCGACTCCTCCCTGGTGAGTCCAAAACTACAGAATCAACTTTTCACCAGAAGTTTCCGGGACCTGCAGCTGTTCAGCTCGTTTATGAATCATAAACTTGTTATTAAATGATGCAGAGTTCGTGTTTTCTTTGAATAAATAGAAATAAAAATGTGTTTATTTGACCTCCTCTCTTTAGAGCTCATTAACATCCAACAACTGACTCATTAACTAACAACTAACTAGTCCCAGTTTTTATGACTTTGCTTGGTTTGGTAGTTTATGGAGCCTTTAGGGCTGTGACCACTTGCGGCCCTAAATCACTGCAGCTCCATTGTGAAAAGCTGAACTCTTTAAATTTCTACAGGAACTCGTTCGGAGCTCGTGGAGCTTTTTAAAATAAAAAGTTTCAAAGTTCCTCCTCTGCAGAAAAGTCACATTTTTAAATGTAACCGATAAGTTTTAGTTTTAGTCCCGCTGCAACAACCCCCCCTGAGTTTAAAGTGGCATTCCCACTCTTTTGGAGCCGTGCACGTTTCGTGTCTGAGCAGCAGCACATGTGGCTGAACAACCAGCTGCTGCGTCCCAGTATGGATTCCAGTGAAACCGGTTAAATCTTGCGGGGACGCGATAAAACCGAGGAGCCTGCGGCAGGTTTGACGCTTCTGTTGCGCAGGGGAACCGCACCGGTCCAAAGAGTCCGGGTCAGAAGTCCCGCAGAAGTCGGACTCGGGTTGTTTTTGTTGATCGTGACGCGATCAGGTGAGTCCGTGACACGTGGAGACGTCAAACCGGTTCGACCGCGCCGCGGTGTGAACGCTCGATCTGGTTTCAGTGCATGTTGGAGAGCTTCGGTACGTGCGCGGCTCGTTTGACAGCTTTTTAAAACCCAGTGTGTTCTCCCCCCCCCCCCCCCACAGTCCAGGTGAGCGGGTGATTCCAGCCGGTGACTGAAGGAACCAGCAGCGGTTGATGGTTGGCCGGACCCCCCCAGATGGGATCAGTGTCCAGGGGGAGGTGGAGAAGGGGGGTATGGGGAGCCCTGTCCCCCTCTAACGGGATGGCCTTGTGGGTCTGGCTGCTGGCCTCCGTCTTGCTGTCCCTTCTGACCGTCAGCGTGGCCCGGCCCCCCCTCACCGCCACCAAGGAGGAGGAGGCCACTCTGGAACCTGAAGGTGAGCTGAACGTTTCAACCTGTTGGATGTTTACATGCAGGGGTCTGCAACCGCTGGCTCCAGGGCCACATGTGGC